CCCCGAGCCCTGGAGCGGGACCCCGAGCCCTGCAGCGGGATCCTGAGCCCCGGAACGGGACCCTGAGCAAGGCCTCGAGCCCCGGAGCGAGGCCCAGAGACGGACCCCGAGCCCCGGAGCGGGACCCTGAGCCCCGGAACGGGACCCCGAGCGAGGCCCCGAGCCCCGGAGCGGGACCCTGAGCCCCGGAGCGAGGACCCTGAGTGAGGCCCCGAGCCCTGGAGCGGGACCTTGAGCCCTGCAGCGGGACCCTGAGCCCCGGAACGGGACCCTGCGCGAGGCCTCGAGCCCCGGAGCAAGGCCCAGAGAGGGACCCCGAGCCCCGGAGAGGGACCCCGAGCCCCGGAGCGGGACCCCGAGCCCCGGAGCGGGACCCCGAGCCCCGGAGCGGGACCCCGAGCCCTGGAGTGGGACCCTGAGCAAGGCCCCGAGCCCCGGAGCGGGATCCCGAGCCCTAGAGCGGCAGTCCCGGCTCGTGGCCGCCCCTTTGCGCCCACGACGACACGGGGCCGGGCTCGTTGCCACACTGGGCTGTGGCTTTGGGTGAGCCCCGAGTCACGGAGCTTGTTCCTGTGCCCGTTCYCGCAGGCGCGATGGAAAGCAACGGGAGCAGCGCCAGGGAGGCCCGGAGCACGTCCGATGAGGAGGACAGGAGCGATGGAGCCGAGCAGAAAACTCCGGAGGAAATCCTCTTTCACGAGGAGACCATCGATCTGGGTGGAGACGACTTCGAGTCCGAAGGGAATGAGACGGTGTCCGAAGACTCTAATAACTTTATAGATAAGCTCAACGAGCAGATGATGGAGAGCGTCATTATTTCGGATTCTCCGAACAACAGCGAGGATGAYACTGGGGAGCTGGGTTGTCTGCAGGAGATGGTGGAACAAATGGAAGCCAAAGACAATCAAAAAACGCAAGTGGAAATGGGTCAGGAAGAGCTTTTAAGTAATGAGAGTGAAACTGAGCACGAAGAGACACCCAGGGACGTTTCCGAGATTGGGACAGACGATCAGGCATCTCTAAAGGAAGAGGCGGTTCAGGAGGCAGCGAGGGAGGATCTGCCCTCGATGAAGAGCCTTCCTGCCGAAACGGGAGCCCGTGCTGGGGAGCAGGGACGCGAGGAGCAGGCGCCGTTAGCCAGCGCTGGCAGAGCTGCTGCCGAGGCCGAGCCCATCCCCGTGTGCACCATTTTCAGCCAAGCAAACGGGGCCCAAGCTCAGCCACAGCTGTTCCTGCAGGATGGTTTTGAGCCGCAGATGGTAAAATCCCCCAGTTTTAGTAGTATAACCGAGACTCCAGTGAAGTCTAATCCACAGGTCGTTCAGCCGAGTCCTAGCCTAAGCAAGTTCTTTGGTGATACTGTGAACACTAATACTTTAGCTTCTGATTTTTTTGATTCGTTTACCACATCCAGTTTTATCTCCGTCAGTAATCCCAATGCAAGCTCTTCAGTCCCAGAACAAATGTCCTCCGTTTCTTCCACTGGAGACAGTTCTCATGCTTCGCCTGACCCTACTTTCTCTATAGGAAATGGGAGAACTGAAGTAGGTGGTCCTCCAAGCTCCTTAGAAATATCTCCATCTCCCAAGCCCTTCTCCCAAATCCAAGCTGTTTTTGCTGGGAGTGATGACCCATTTGCTACAGCCTTGAATATGAGTGAGCTAGATAGGAGAAATGATGCTTGGCTTCCTAGTGAGGAGACCAGGAATGTTCTGATTTCGGTTGCCACACAGCAGTACAGCACTGTGTTCATAGACAAAGAGAATCTCACCATGCCCGGCTTGAAATTTGATAATATCCAGGTAAGAGTCTGTGATTATATCTTTAATCTCTGGTCATATTTTAGAAACACAGAATAAGAGCTCTCCAAAAATTGGGGCATCTCCATAGTGCTTCATATTGTTGGCTAAGGTCCCTTTGTATTGCACCAGTCTCATGAGCAAACTTAATATGACTGTCTACTCATACATGAAAGGTCTAAAATCAGATCTGATCTTAAGTCATTTCAGTTAGAATCTGCCCATTCTTGTTAGAAAGTTTATGCTCCCATTTTGGACGTAAACTAAACCAGAAAGCTGTTCTGGGAAGCCTGAAGGACAACACTTCTGTTTGCACTGCTAGAACCAAGTAGTAAATAACGTTTTCCACAGCAGTGTTTGCAGTGCTGTGAATAATGTTGATGCCGACTGGAATTGGGTCATCATTATCTTTCCTAAGCTGTGGAAATGCATAAGTTGTACAAGGTGAGTGCGGGATTCTGATTAGATTTTGAGAGGAARGGTTTAGTAGTGGGAACCCATTTCCTTCTGTCAGGGCTTCCCACCTGGTGCAAGAGCGGCATTTTCTTCACACTCTGGAGAAATTTAAATCAAATCTATTGAACACTTCTTGTGAAATATTTTTTTTCCAGGCAGCTCAGCAAAGCCAAGCTATGGCAGTGGATGTTTATTTCTCAAAATAGGCAAATCCTTCTTTTCATACCTACAGCTCTAAATTGTTGTCTAGAGAGCTGKTGTTGAGGATTTAGTTATTTAATCTTAATGACAGCATAATAAACATTATCAATTCTTAAGTAAAATTTAGGGCAGAGAATGGTCTGCAGTAACTTCCCAGCCCGCAGTGACCATCAGAAAAGTTTTTGGAGTGAATGAAGTCCTGATTTGCAGCCGACAAATTTTAAGTTTCCGTTTTYGTGTCTGTCACTAAAGCAAAAATGATGAAAGATTCAGACACACACCATGCTGCTGCTTCCTGCATTAGTTTTATCTTACAACATTTGTCACCATAGAACCAAATAATTAGGATGAAAGCAAATCCTGCAATACTATGCAGCTCTTTCTGTGCTTCATTCTGCCTTTACAAAAAAAAATCACCTATTTTGAGCTTGTTGAATAATTCAAGATTGTAATATTTCTCCCCTAATAACCAAAGAACAATTTCTGCACAAACCCAAAGGAGAAGGTCATCTCTTTCTCTCTTTTTACAATAGTAATATTTAGGGGAGGACACAACCTCCATATTCTCTTTTCTTTTTTTTTTCTTTTTTTTTTCCATATTCTCTTTTCTTTTTTTTTTCTTTTTTTTTTTTCCAATAATTCTTCCTCACTTCCTTCTGAGGATTCAAGGATTAAAAGGTTGCTTGCCCTGATCATTCCCAAAGCTGGGTTATTTGCATATATGCAGATGCAGCATCAGTGCATCGTTGAAAAGAAGACATTGCAAATGTCCTGCTGTAAAAATCAAGGAAGGAATTAATTTATAAGCAGCAGCGTAGGTGTGTTGGCAAGGAGGCAGGTTTTGAAGGGCTTTATACTTAACACAACTTTCCTCACAGTCAGTTTCTGCTTCTCAGTGGTCTGAGTGCCCTTCCTGACTGGCCTGGCAGCCTCTAGTTTGATCTCAGTGTTCCAAGTGCTTCTAGTGCTGCAAATTGTGCATTTAGTTGAAATTGTCATTGTAGAGTGCTTGAGATGTCACCTGGAACATTGTGGAAGGCTTGTTTTCCAAGTTAAACCTGCATATGACAATGTTCATTAAAGCTTTGGCAGGAACAGTTTTATGATGCTAAATGTCAATACAAGATCCTAAACCGTGCAGAAGAAGATAGTTGAAAAGTGCATTTATAGTGAACTTTAAATGCTCCAGGGGAGAACTGAGATTTCCTGACCTGTGCTGAAGAGCTCAGCACGGTTTGGTTTTGCTTCCTCATTCAAAAAGTGCTTGTTCATGTTAGAAGAGCATTGTTCTGAAGTTGCATGAAGCAATTCAAAAAGAGAAATATTCAATATTCTCAGGTTCAACAGTCTGCTACTTCTGATGGTTTCAAGCAATGTTATCTTAAAACAGTCATGATTGTATTCGCTATAGGTGAACCTGGGTCTATACCTGTGCTTCCTGAATGGGAACCAGTCAGGAGAGTTACTTTTATTCTGCCTACCCACAGCAGTCGTTGTCTGCTACCTTCCATTTCATTACAGCCCTTCATAAGTAATATTTCCTTCTCCAAAGAAGGGGAGTGGACAGTTTCTTTTGCACTTGTTTCCCTGTACACACTCCGATTTTAAAGGTGGAAATCTTGTTCATAGGATAGGTAAAGCATCAGAGGTGAAAACTTTCCAAGTCATAAAACAGTAATTGCAATCTTTTTTCTCATGAAACTAGACAGAAAACATAAATGAATTTCCTGTCACCAGCTGTCGGAAAGTAGCAACATTTGATATCAATTAAATGGATATCTTTATCCTAGCTAACCTCTGTTTTATACATYTTTTTTAGAGCAAAGTCTTAGTGTTTTTTCCCTCTGCTTGACACCTTAAATATTGCATGCTATTCTCATCCCACGTATCTGAAAAGATGGAATGGGATTAAAGAAAAGGAGATTAGAGGAACAGTTGGGAGAACAGCATTTGTCCATTTAAGTGGTAGTGAAATAGCAGCGTTTGCGTTACAAGATAACAGGTATCTGAAATCATAATAGCAGAAAGGGTGTCTTACTGTTTGTTAAAAGGTTGCTATTCACTTTGGCTCTCGGTCAGAGTTTAGTTTCTGTGTCTGCTTGAGGTTGGCTGATCAAACGCTCTTACACCTTTAGCTTGGAAATTACACCTTTCAATATAGTAACAGTCAGTAGAAATACCTAGTAAAATTTACTGTGTTTTGTAAGTCTTTAAACAGTATTTTATTAGATATTTGAAGGATACTGAGAAGTAAGCATGCCTGTTTTTTTTATGCTAACTGACACCTGAATGTTAGAATGAAGAAAGAAGAATTAGCAAATAATGTGAAGTAGGTCTAGAAATTCGCAGTGAAATGCTGCCAATAGATATGTACGTATATTCATTTCACAMGAAACCTGATGAGTAATAAGCATTGCTCGAGGTAGAAAAATTTTTTGCTCAGCTTTAATWCAACAATTTACTGTAATGTTGGAAAGTATCTTACATTTCTCTTTGTTTTTTCCTTCCATGGATACCAAGGGAGATGCAGTGAAAGATTTAATGCTTCGCTTCTTGGGGGAACAAGCTGCAGTGAAAAGACAAGTGTTAAATGCCAACTCCGTAGAGCAGTCGTTTGTAGGCTTGAAACAGCTAATTGTAAGTAAGAATGTACTTCATCTTCATAATTCAGGATGTGTTAAATACCCTGCTTCTCTCAAGATAATTGGGACCTAATGACCGTGAGAAGGAAATAAAGAATGTGCGYGTGTCTGTTCTGCTCCTGCAAACGTAATAGTAGTGATGCTGGGTTCTAAAGGATGTAAATGCAGAAGTTAGAACCAAGCTAGTTTTACATAATGTAAATGGTTTCAAAGTAGATTTTAATGGTTTTGTTTGTTTGTTTACATATATATTCATGTTGTAGTGTAGTATTTTATTAAAGGTGAGGCATATCTGTTCGTGTGATAAGCAAAGCTGATATGATAAATTTGGCGCTTTAATTCTCTATTTTAGGGCAGAAAAAAAAACTTGTTTCCATTTTTTTTATTATTTCTTCAATTCAAAAAGGTTAAATAAAATACTTACAAGTGTATAATTTCCCCTGTCAAAACCTTTATCTTAACATAAATGTCTGTAACTTGCAAGCAGTTACTTTTAGTACGCAGGCAAACCTTGCTTTGCTCTTTCATCTGCTATATTCCTCTCAAATTTTGTCTTTAAAGGCTATAATAACTTATCCTAGTTTTCTCATAATAAATACAAATTTCTTAATCATCCTGATAGCTCTTCTACAAATTCCTTCCACTTTCAGTTGGTGTTTTATTATTACCGTGTAGACCCGAGCACAGTATTTAAACTGTTGTGTTACAGATGCGTTGTACAAAGGCCACTTCAGCAGTGAAGGATTCATATGGAGTCCTTYAACTTATTGAAAGGTGTCATCTTATTAGCAGCTCATACAATTGTCAGAATTTTCTTTATTTCTGTTGTTTCTTTCAGTCAACTTGAAGCAAAAGTTCCTAGTTGTGGAGGAAATTACTTTGCATTTTAATGAYCAGGTTTTACTGTTTCCATTATTCTTCCATACAAAATATCTGATTCCTGTTTAGTGAAGTGGCCCTACTGTATATGACAACTTTCTAAATTACATCTGCAGATGTAATTACCAACTCCATTCATCAGGATCATAAAAAGAGTATTTTGGATTGATGCCAGAGTACATCCTTGAATAGTAAATTAAATAGATGAAAAGGTAATTCTGTGGATAGGATGAAGTTAATGCTTGTGACAAAGAATATTGGTTACCAAGTTCCTTCTTTTAGGATCAKAGTGCAAAGTATGTAGGCAAAAGCTTCTTCAGATACACTTAGTAGTCAGAAAACAAATGTTACCAAGAAAATAATACGCTGCTCTTCCTAAGGTGCCTCGTGATGAGGCCTCCAACAGCAGCATYGTTTCTAAGACCGGTGGCTCTTCAGCAGTAACGGGCTCAGATTGTTAAACCTGCCTAACAAAATAGTTGGTGCAGGATGAGTTTGAATTCTAGCTGGTTTGAATGGAATTCATATCAGGAGGCCAAAGATGGTTATGTCTGTGTACTGCTGTTGCTTTATTGAACAACTGCWTTTTCACATTTTAATTTCTGCTCTGGAATAAGTAACAATCGATTGGAAATGCATTGCTGGTGTGGTAATATTGGGACAGTTCTGCTGCCGAATTGTGTTCCAACCACTGTRGGGCTGCAAGGGCTGCAGAAGCACTGTCACAGTCCAGCAATGGAATTTTGTAAGTTTATATGCCTGTCATTGTAGTGATAACTGGTAAATAATAAAATTACACATCTGTAGAGGCTCTTTATATGATTCAGCTGAGAACAGAAAATTTTGAGGTTTCAGTTTTCAAAATGCTGTATTGTTCTAGCACAGGAACATGCATTTGCCTGTGTAGTAAATAAATGTAAATAATAGTCTGTCTTCACTTTGCATTCTCTTATAGTAGCAAATAAAAATAATGCATAGAAGAGGTAAGCTGCAAGTAAGCTGCAATTTCTGTTCCTCCTTAGATTAGATTAACTTTTACCTTCATCCGAACAAGCAGTATGACATTCATTATTACAGATCTTACTGTCATTTGGAATGGAATGATGTTTGCAATCATAGGAAAATTACTTTCTTTTTGATATTTGTCATACCTAAAAAAAAGACTCCTGTATCTTGCCATTATAAATATGTAGTAATAGTTTCAAATATGCAATAATTTCTTTAGGTTACTGGATAAGGAAAGGGTTACTAACTACATTTTCCTAACCAATGTGTAAGTGCTCTGTCAGTGTAATTTACAGAAGAGAAGAATGTCATAGCTAGTGGAGGAGGACGTTTTAATCACTTTAATGGTGGTGCATGTAGAGTTAATGACTCCCTTTGAGTCTCTTTTCAGCAAAAAATCACATGCTATTACTTATGCATGTGATTAATGTTGGGCACTTGCATGTGTTGTCAAATATAACAAACTTGGGTGCACTGTTATGGCATGCATATTTGCTTCAACAAGCTAGAACTTCTCCTTAAAAATATGTGTGTTTTATTTTTTTGTGTTCCTTTACTTTTGAATCAGTGAGCAATTTCCAACCTCTTTGTAGCTGATTTCAGAGAAGAGCAGAGATACCAGGAGCAGAAACAGCAATTGGGGGCCAGTGGGGAGAGGTTGTGTTTCTACACTAAAAAGCCTCAATTTATTGGATAGAATTTGGATGACTTGGCTCAAAACTCTTTTCCTCAGAGGCCAAGTAATGTTATAAATTCTCTTCATGTGTCAAGTGAGTTCAGTTTTCACTGAACACCCTTATTGCAGACATCCAGTCTGCAGCTTCTTTCACAGTTGTGCCAGTCATTCCAGCTCTTCTGCGTGGCCTTTTCTGCTTGACAGTGTGATTCCAGCTGGATTTTAGTCTTATCTGCTGCATCACCTGAGTTTCACTATCTTCATTCAGAAAAAATAATTTATGGCATTGTGTACAAAGAAGAAATACAGAGACTTCTGCAGTCTCATGTTCTCTCAGCTTTGTTCAGCTGTAATTCAAAAATCAAACAAAATTAACCTCTGTGGGAAAAATTTTAAGGACAGTTACATGTGGGATAGTGGCATTCAACTACATATTTTTTCCAGTCCTATTTTGTGAATATTGTCTTTCAGGCATTTTGAAAACTCTGATAATTAACTTTCTTATGACACTTTTATTTAAAAAGGAAGAAAYATTGTAAATATTTTTCTACTCATACTACAGATTTGGCTTGTGTCTTCCCAGTGTCTTGGCTTGTGCATTTCCAGATCTGAAAATTTTATCAGAATTTGTCACTTATTTTTGTAATATTACCTATTTCAGTTAGTTTTTAGGGTATTTCCCCAATACCTATCGCTGTAACTAGGAAGTCCTCTGATGGGTGATGAGACCACGTTGTTTAGGGGATGGTTCCATCTGCATGTGAGGAAGAACTTCCTTCCTGTGAGGGTGACAGAGSCCTGGAACAGGCTGCCCAGGGAGGCTGKGGAGTCTCCTTCTCTGGGGATCTTCCAAACCTGCCTGGTGCTGCCCTGTGCCCCGTGCTCTGGGTGTCCCTGCTGGAGCAGGGGGGTTGGACTGGATGGTCTCTGGAGGTCCCTTCCAACCTCAACCATTCTGGRATTCTGTTCCTGTGGRAGAACCTGCCCTGCTCGCCAGGGTTTGCCGAGTGCTCCACAGGCAGGAGTTTCCCTTGCGGAGAAGGGCRCTCAGATTCAGCTGAAAGGTGGTATCTCCATCCACCCATTTAAAAGAATTACATTGATTTCATAAAGTCAGACCTGATGTGGAGATATCAGTTGCACTGAAAGTGTCTCTGAAGTCTGTAAGGGAAACAATGTGCTTACTGTTTKGGGGTTTTTTTAAAAAACATTCTTTGTTATATGGACTTTGTGATACGTTTGGCTAATGTCGTGTATGGGAAGAGGTTTTCCTCTGCCAGGCTGAGGAAACAGCTCACTAACCTCTGTGTTAGTGAGCTGTTTGGTATAGTTCATATACCAAACATATTTATTTGGTATATGTAATCTGGGAATCGGCATTATCTGTGGAGAAAATGTTCTCATACAATTTGATGCAGAAGGGCTGTGTCTGGATTACTGTGGTAGCGTTGGCAGTTTTCTCTTGGAGACCATCCATCTCTACCTTTGGTGATGCACCTGGAGCTGTAGTTTCCATGTTTGCTCTGAAGGATATTAGGATTTACAGACAACATTCTTACCTGGTGTTTTCAGGAACAAGGAATCCAGGTCCTAAGGGCTTTGTAACACAGGAGACAAAGCAGTGATGGAACCTGCCAGATTTTGAGGGGGGGGGATCAAGTACCTGGAAGATTTCTGGCAGACGGACAGCTCTGGCAATTATAACAGGGGCTCAAGTTGCCAGAGCGAATAACGTGTCCTGCTTGAGTCCAACTAAGCTCTCCTGGTTTAGCTTCCACAGAGACCTATGCTCCATGGCCAGCAAAAGAGCTTTGCTTTTGCAATAATGAGGAGTATTACGTTTTATTTTCCAGTGAAGACTGCTGTCACTGTGGTTGTAACTCTTGCCTCTCCTGGCTGTCTTCTGCTATAAAGAAAAACATCTTTTCTCAATGTCCCAAGTCGTTCCTTAAAACTGTAGCACCTAAGCTGGTCCATAAATGTTCCATCGTTATTTTTGACTCTCATTCAGGAAACAAAATTAAGCAGTGCTATATTCTTAACTCTGCTTATGGTCTAAGGGTAATAGGAAGTTAATTTGCCTCTGTGGAAGAGGCATAAAGTTCAGGTAATCTATCTGCATGCCTTTCTGCTTTTCAARGCAGGTAAGAATTTATGTTGAAGGGTGTTATAAATGCCTATCAGTTCTTGCCCTCCCATAAGGCCACAGAGATCTCATAAAGAAAACTGCCCTGCTGCTCTGCATTTATGCTGCCAGTCAACGTCTGCATTTCCAGCAGAATTCAGAATTTTATCTAGAATTTGGCAGTGCAGGGAGGTAAGGTCATCAGTGCACTGAGGGCTCTCTTGATCTCTCTCTATTATTGTCCTTTGAGCAACTAGAGCTGCAAAATAGAGGCCAGGGGGTAGAAARACTCTTCAGTTGCTACCAGTAGTTTTTCTCGTGTACTGATTGCACTATTAGCTTGTTTTCCAAACTGTAAATAACAGAAATCATTTAGAAGAACGCCAGTTTCAGGTGAGTGTCCAAACTTCAGGAGCATTGAAATAGATATTTTCTATTTCTTTAAGTTTCTCCAGACGGAGTGCTAAGTTTCTGTCATATTTGGTCATTATTTTTTAGTGCATTTAAGAAGTCCTGTTTGAAAGAACTGGCGTCTTATTCTCCTGTAATGAAAAGCACAGGTTTTACAATGGTGCATGTCTCAAAAAAWTGTTCTGTGTAACAGAAACATAGGACAGTTTAACTTCTCTAACTAAACAAGATTTTCTTTTATGAATTTATGAATGATTTTTGTTTTAAAGAATACTGCAAAGTTAGCCTTTAAATGAAAATTCAGATGTTTATATTTCGAATATGAAACTTTTTCTGGTCTTATTATCATTTTATGCGTTAAATTATTTTTTGTCCTCCACTGTTAATAATAATACAAGAATTATGTCTTCTGGGTGGTGTTAGGAAACATTTTGATGAAACAAGCTGCATTAAGGGTTATAGTCTGAAATACTGAGGTCTGTGCAGTCGTCAAAATAAGCACTTGTGCATTTTAGCTTTTTTGGGTTTTTTTTTTGCTACTTACTCTTTTCTTTTTCCCAGAGCAGTAAAAACTGGAGGGCAGCAGTAGACCTGTGTGGGCGACTTCTAACTGCCCATGGTCAAGGATATGGAAAAAGTGGACTGCCTACGAACCACACAACAGATTCCTTGCAGGTGTGTGGAAAACYACCTCCATGCCCTTTCTCCAGAGTATTCCCAGCCCCATTCTTTTGAACAGGCTCAAAACTTCTTTTCAAAATTGTTACCTAAAAAATAAGCTGATTAATGCATTTTGGCAAGTCACTTCTGCTGTTTTCTTACGTAAAGTAGGTCATAATTTTAAACAAAACATTTTTAAAAAGTAAAACTCTTGATTACATATTTTTAAAGATGGATAGACTAGTAAAAATATGCTTTGCTTATCTCAGACCCCTGACTTTGCTAATATTTATAGACTGTATATAGATAATGAACTCTGTAATAATATTTCAAATATTAGAAATATATTTTTTTGTGATTTGAAAATAATAACCCAAATTAATAAAGGCTCATGATACAGTTCTACTTGGAGAAATGTGAACAGCAGGCAAGTACTGTGCTGGCCCTAGTACTATATAAATCATGGAAATTCATTGAAATCATAACAGATGTTTAAAATTACATATTTTTTAACATATAAAACGTGGACTGATAAATCTTACATGCTATCTCAATCTAATTAAGAGATGTTCTGATTTTGAGGTGGGCTAGCTTAGTTTGTAAGCTTCTTCAAAAACAAATAGCTAAACATCACTCCTTTGGGTTTTGTTATTTTAATGACCTTGTAAAAAGCTTTCTGTGAAGAAAGATGTAGCGTAAGTAGTGATTCTAGTCCCAAAGTATCTTTACTTAATCAAAAATATTTAGGAAAAAAATTCAAGATTATTCACATATGCCTTGTGATTGAAGCTAATAACAGACTTTGGCTTTTGCTTTTTTTTATATGTATTGATTTTCTAGCTGTGGTTTGTGAGACTGGCATTATTGGTAAAACTGAATCTCTTCCAAAATGCAGAGATGGAATTTGAGCCATTTGGAAATTTAGACCAGCCTGATCTTTATTATGAGTATCACCCTCAAGTGTACCCTGGACGAAAAGGTAAGGTACTACTTTTAGCAAGTGCTTTTTATTTCTGCCATGAATTTGAGGATTTTTTTTGACTCATTATTAGCTTTGCTTTTATTTTAAAATATTAGTGGACTTTTGATTTTTTTTTCCTGTAAGAAAATGATTAGTTACTGTGTTAAATTGTTGTTTTCATTAAGAGAGTTACAATAAGGGAAAAATTACTCCATCRTAATACAGGTTTGCAGTATATTTTCATGTTTTCAAGATGCTGACAAAACATTGATTTTAGAGAGGAGTGCTTTTAGTAATTAAATAAAATATTGTGGCGTAGTTAATAAACTAAAATAAAAAATGCAGTTAAATAAAACAGTAAAATGTAACTTTATTATATATCCCGTTGATGAAGAGGGGGAAAAAATCACCAAGCAGTTATTTACTGTGCCCTTAGATTAATCAAATATTTTATTATTCAAATAGTTTCATTATTTGGGATAGTCCAGTCCTCCAGGATTCTAGATACGAAAAAAATTACTATTCTTAAGAGCAATTTTTCTCCTTTTTCAAGTCATTTTATAGTCCTTTTTTTTCCCCTTAATTCATGAATCGATGGATTTTCCTCTGATAAAAAACACGTCGTCGAATGCCTTGCTGGTTTTRGCTTTCATATTTAAACGCCCATTCATGAGATGTTTGTTACAGTTTTAATAGGTAGCTCCATTTGAACCCTGTGCAAAATTCAGTGCCTTTTATGTGAAATGATGGTTGTAATGGCTGATGCCATATCGATGGCATCACAGATTTTGAGATTGCTAGAAAAGGGCAGCTGGGCTCAAGAAAATTCAGGATCTCTCACGGATGGTCGTTTCCCCCCTGCTGTGATATGAATGAGTGATGAGTGATATGATATGGTCAGCTGTAACCCAACAGGACCAGTTTGGACTTCCTAGAGCAGGAAAGTCACACCAAGTGAGTCGGCATCTTTCAGACAGCCGTGTTTCTTGTCTCGGATATATCCCGGCCCCTGAGAGAGATGTGTGTCTTTTGCCGGTGAGGGAGGTTCTGGACATGAGCCTGGACATCTTTTCGGGATTAGCTGAGGTCTGCCCATGACGCAGTTCAGCACAGAAGCAGCGGCCTTTCCCTGGCCACTCGTCAGTGACGTTGAGCCGCRTCGCCCCGTYCGCAASGTGCGGGACGAGGAGGAGGAGGACGAGGWGGAGGAGGAAACGGTGCCGCRGGCAGCTCCGTGTGGCGCCGGCCCCGCTTGGCCCGCGGCTCCGCAGCGCTCACACGCGGCTGCCCTTCCAGGTGCCCCCGTCTGCAGAGAGGGGCAGAWACGTCGCCGTGTGGGTGCTTTTCTGTTTCCAAATAGATCAGTGCTTGGATCGGGAGCTGCGTGCCGGGTTGCTTCCTGCGCATCCCCCTCCTGCCCTTGGGCGTGGGYGCCGATGTAAGGCGGCCTTTTTGTCATAGTTCTCGTGACTCATGGATTTGGGGATTTTCACAGTGTTCTGTCTCCTGATTTATGCAGCTTGTCCCCCTTCTGCTTGTCTTTGTTTCTGTGTTCTTCATAATACTTGATAGACCTCTCGTGATGGATTAGCCAGCCCAAGATATCCTTTGCACTGCTGATGCCTGCCTGTTTGGCAAAAGAGTGAGAGCCAGGAACTAAACTGGCACATGAAAATGCTATTTCATTCTTTTATGAGATAATTTGGGCTTTTTTCTGGTTAATAGACCAGTAAGTTACAGAAAAGTTAATGCTACACAAATGAGTGTTTTAAAAGCTACAGTAATTGAGAATAATTTATTCTGAGAAGAAAAACCTGTTTACAGTAAAACCAGAGCTTTCATTCTGTAGACCRGAGTTCTGTTTGTGCAGTTCTTTTTTCCTCTTTTTTTTGACAATATAGCATGATCTTTATTCTTCTAATGTGAAATCAGTCTTACACTCTCTGATAGGAAGTGCTAAATAAGGAACATATTATTAAATATTTAATTGTAAGTGCTCTGGCAACTGATTTCATGCTGTTTGCTTTCTCATGAACTCTGTTATTGATCCTCACACAAATGTGTTTTCAAGTTGTGGCGGAATTGTGGCCGCAGGGACCTAGCAGCGTGTGCTGCAGTGGGAGGACCCTTTCAGATGGACAGGGAAAGCTTTCGATATATACATACGTTTCCCTTCAGAAATTAGTTTGAGTCTATAGGCATTGCTTTAGTATATTTTGTTAGGCTTATATTTCTTCTTTACTGCTAACCAGTGTTATTTTCCCATCTCCATCAGCTTCTGGTTAGTGGTAAACCTGAAGCAGAATGGGAAGAACGGCAGAACTGTTCACTTGCCTTAATATATTCACAGAAAAAAATGAAGGGAATCAGACCATTGTTACATGTGGTATTTTAAATTCACTACGTGTTTTAGAGTTTCCTAATTGTACCCATGAAATCTGCTAATACAGATTGAATAAGTAACAGACAAGCAATATGGACCCAGATGGGCACTTAGAGTAGTCAGAGGGACTTGCAAATACAATTTTTGCTAAGGTAATGCAGACAGTTAAGAAACATATGTATAAATTTTTAAGAGACTAGAGTGCCACCAAAATTTTTAATTGTGCTTTATTTGCTATATTTTCATAGATAGCACCAACTTTATGTCGTATTCCTTAAAAATGACTGACTGTGTAGATAAGTTACTCATTTCCAAAATCTGTCTTTCTAGATGACTTTCCCCAGTGAAGGTGGTGATCCCTTTGTGGGAGGACATGGGTTACTGTTTTTCAAATCTTTCTTTTCTATTTTCTATTCTTCAGTGCAAATAGTATCTCTGAATTACTGAAAAAAAATTTTGCAAGCTTTCAAAATCAGATCTTAACTCAAAATAATTTACCTATACTGTGTGCCTTAAACATACAGCCGAGCAGTAAAGAAAAATACTTTTTGACAATACAACATTGTTCTTTTTTTCTACAGAGTATTTAATCTAGCACATTGATTTTTGCTATAGCTCAGTGTTAGTATATTCCGTCTTGCTATCTTATCTTGTTTTACTTTTCCGATGTAAAAGGGTTTACTGAAGCAAGTGTAGATTTTTTTCCTTACCCCTAATCCGCTTTTTAATTAAATTTTGTGTTCTGAATTCTTCAACCTGCCCTTTAGACCTACCTGGCACTACTGCTATAGATGGACTTCGGGTCGTGAGCAAATGTCGTTACCTCTTCCTGTTTGTTTTCTTGTTAACCAGCATAAAATAAAAAGTTATGGCCCTTTTTAAAGTTTCAGACCCACTTCAGCATCTCCTCTTTGTATGAAGAATGCTTCAACTCCCAATCAGCCTCTCTTTCTGATATGTGTGTTGTTATTCTATCTATTAACATTTATTTCTTCTTCTGTCTTGGTTGTAATAAAGAATTGTCCTCTGCTTAGGCAGCTAGAGTTTGAGACGATTTCTCAGTCTTGTTCTGTAATTTCCTCCTCTTGCTGGGCACAGTGCATAATTCTCTGCCTCATTTCTGAACCTGGAAAAATGTCTCCTCCTTTTCCCCTTTTTTAATGGTATTTCCTTAGGTCTCCATTATTTTGTGGAAAGTTTTGTGTCTTACTGGGTTTTGGTGCCCTTCCTGTGGCCACAGACCTTTAGCTGAACATTAGCATATATTTGCTTGAAAATAAATTCTAGTAAGATTTCCRTTTTGGAGATGCATAAAATTAAGAAGCTATATCTATTTTAACCCATGTTTCCAGCCACTCAGAAACATCTAATTCTTCACAATCTTTCTTCGAAAATTTTGCTCTTAYGTTGTTATTTATTATTTTATACCATTTCAGCAGTGTGGTTTGACACTTCTGTTAAAAGAAAAATTACTTCGACTTTAACCAAGAGCAGAGAATCGTTACCTGGAAAACAGCAACTTTAAAAGAATTTTTAAACTAGAGTGCATAAATAGGACAAGGCAGAAGCAAAACCCTCACCAGGTCCTTAACTGCTTGATGCTGAAATATCAGTTGTTTTCCCAGTGAGGCTGACACCAACTGGGGCAAACTATGAACCAGGTGTGAAGAAGTGTCTCTTCAGGCTTTCACATCATTCTTTTTCTGAACTTTATCTGAGCAGACTCATCACGAGTATAACCAGCTGGAATATTTAACTGCTTGTAATGCAGTAGGAAAGTACTGGTTGTTATTCCTTCCATCACATTGACAAGAATGGGATTGGGGAGCGATTTCTAGGTTATATTATTACAGGGACTGAGCTGATAGCGGTGTCTCTGAGCTAGAATCGCAGGATAACACACACACCAAATAGAAATATATATGTCTTCAGGGAACCTCTCGTGAATGGTTTTGGTTTTTAGTGGCTTCAGGGGAAGCTTGGCCATTTCCAGAGCTTCAGCAGCAGCCTCAAACCAGGGAGGCACCTGGTGAAACCCCCATCCCGGTGGATGGAGCTGGTGCCGAAAGCAAAGTCGGAGCGAGGATGACAGATAATTCGTAACAAAGATCAGATTTGACAAATTTCCAGTGATAGTAAGTAAAAACRTAAATACTACATGATTTTATCAGCRTGGTTGGTTAATTCTTTTTTCTGTTATCACAATCTTCAGATAAAAATGATCAAGAATATTTTTTCTATGTCAAATTGGAATTGTTAGTATGTCATCCTTAATAGGCAGCATAAAGTCTACAGTGTTCATCCCTCTAAAGGAGAGGCACAAGAGAGCTTCTTTACACATGAGTTTGTAGCCTGGCACTGATTCAGGGGTTGAGGAGGTCAGTGTTGCATTATCCTTACTGTGAGTGCCTGAATTTTGTAATGTCTTAGACTATTTGTCCTTAAGAAAAACAAATAACGGTGTGTTTGTGTCCCGTGTTTTGCCTGCAGTTGTAAATAAATCTACTTTTTCAGTTGTTTCGCTGTGCCATTCAGAATTCCTTAATTGTTGCACAAAAATGCGCAGAGGGAATAAGAAGCTAGGAGCTAAGCAACTCAGAAATTTCTGTGCCTGTGATTGCTAAACTAATGAAAATGTTTTCTGGTTCCTCTTGTTTTAGTAATTATTAAAACTACATATTTAGCATAGTGGGCATTTTTAATTTGCGCACAATTTGATGTCAGATATTTGATTCTATCTATGTGGCTTTATAGTTAATGAAGCTTGGAATTGTTGATGAACACTTCTAAACAAACTCTACATGTCCAACTTATTTAAGTAGCATTTAATTTCCTTTCTCAGCTCAGCTTTTTACATCGCCTGGGATCTTTTTAGTCGTGCCTTTGTTAAGCAGCATTTGTAGCAGTCACCTTATTAAGCCTCAGTTCTTTATTATTTTTCCTTTGTCATATATTGTCAGTGTTCATTACAAACATCTGTAAAATGTTAGGAAATACATTTATTTAAACGAGCCGCCGGAGGTGCTYGGCAAGGGGGAGGGCGGCGTTCCTGCCGGTTCGTGCGGTGCCAAGTGCAGCTGTGGGCACTCGTGTTCCTCACGCCCGCGGCTCCTTCACACCGGCTCCTCACGAGGCCGCCGCAGGGAGAAGCCGCCACCGGCAGCAGCCATGTTGCGGGGCGAGAAACCCGGAGCGCTGCCGCTCAGGCCGCCATCCCACCCTGTGGCCTGCCCGCATGTGCAGGGCCGGGTGTCCCCTCGCACCGTGTCCCSTCCCCTCACACCATGTCCCGTCCCGGTGTTTGGGCGCTGCTGAGGCCTCCTCGTGCGCTCCGCCTGCCCCACAGCCTTTCCGGCTGCTGCTCCCGCCCTTCCATGGCGCCACCCCGGCCTTGGGCGGCCGCCTTGGCTCCAAAGCAGCCCCGGGGGCTCTCGCYGAGGCTTCCCCCAGGCCTACAAGGTCCTTCTTGGGGCCTTTCCCTCAGACAAGYTCAGTTTGTTATTCTGCTCTCTCAGCCTTCAGAAAGCGACACATAGTTTGGGTGCCAGAAACAATACGGTAGTAGAACCTGTTCATTCCCCCCCGCCTTTATTTATACCRGTTCTTATACTGGGAAAAGCTGGAGTCATATAGTTCTTTCTATACTCATATAGAAACATGTTCATGTCCATACAGAAAAATGCATTAAATACCCTACCGTTATGTAGATAGATCTCACAGTAGAGTTGTTTGGTGGCTCGTTGTGGAAGAGCCAACATTGAGAAGTAAAGCACAGAGTAAAGACCTCYTTTTTTTGCTTTAAGGTATAATGTAGGGGTTCTTCATATCTGCTTTCTGCCTATTTAGAAAAATAAATACATACAGCTAGTTTTGCTTGCCCAGATTATATACATTTTAGCAGGTCTACAATTCCACCTTAATTTTTCTGCTTAGATTGTAAGATTTGCATAGTTATGAAATGTCAGGAGTAATATTGTAATGCAACTTGAATAATCTTCCATTTTTAGCCTATATTATAATTGGTTTATAAAATTCTTTAGCATGCATTTTTCTGTGTGTGCACTTTGTTTTTGGAATGTGGAATTAGGTGCACCTTTTTCATGCTTAATTATGTATGGTGTGCCGATATTTATGTATTGAAAACATTTTTACAATATGTTGCATGCTCAAAGAGCAAAAAGGTTTGCTATTTTCTCATCTTTCAGATCTTTAATTACAAGAAAATGAGATTTGAAAGGTAAAATGGAGTTTATCACATATACAAAGAGAAATGCCTTACATAATATAGGTAAATTGTGCATGGGTAGGTACAGCAAAAATAATAATGTTGTTTATGATTCTAGGTTCCATGGTTCCTTTCTCCATGCGTATTTTACATGCTGAACTTCCTCAGTACCTCGGGAATCCTCAGGAATCACTTGATAGACTGCACAGCATGAAGATAATCTGCGCCAAGGTAGCATTTGTCCATGCAACAGCATCTTGTAATGTTTAAGGAATATATATATTTTTTGTCCTTACCTAGCACGTATGATTTGAACTGTCGTATCTTAACTCTGTCGAACAAATGATACAGATGAAGAACCCACTAATGCATCATTTGCTCTTTTTTTGCCTGTTAGGCTGCAGCCTCCTTCTCCCTGCTGCTTGGTAACTCTGCTGCCTCAACATGTGGACTGGTGGCTACAACAGAAAACATAATTCCCGTGCTTTCTTGCTTGTGCCAAGCAAGGTCTCAAAGAAAACAGTGCCACATATTTGATGGCAAGTGGGAGAAGCTTTTTTTCCCCTCACTGAGCAGCATCCAACTATGCAATAGCTGTTAGTGACCAAGACTGTGCTCCCTCCTTCAGAAAGTGCCTGGATGGCTGGCTTGGGAAATGCCAGGCACTTAAACTTTTTGTCTTGTTTTCTTTTCCAAGTTGCAGTAATACAAAATTAAGGCCTGAATGACARTAAGGGATTTGTCAGTGCTGAAAATTGAGTGATGGTGTTGTGCACACTATCCATATCTCCTTCCACTAAAGCAAAMACTCTGCGTATTAAGCACCCGTCCCTTAATTTTTAACACAAATCTTCCCTGGTAATCTAATAAATGAATGACTGTAAATGTTATAAATTGYGTTAATCCCCTGCAGAAACAAAGCCTTATTGTTTTATCAGAGACACTTAAAATTTCAAAACTGTTTATTATATACGATTGCATTTTATCTGCAGTGTTCTTTGGAAGTCTCCTATATTTACTCATGAAAATGAATTGAGTAATATAAATGAAGGATTTTTATTAGTATAATTGYCTTAAGTCATAAAATAAACTTGTCTCTTAATGCAGAATAGTCACTGGGATAACCAAATATTTAGAGTTGAAAAGCATTATCTTTCTATTATGAGGGAAAAGAGGGAGGTTTTTGGTCATAGATAATGAATGTGGCATTTGCTGTAGAGTTGGAAGGAATTTATTTGGAAGCTCTTGAGTGATACAGCAGATCTGGCCAAAAGCAAGTGTTAGAGGGCACTTTTTAGCACTTCATGAATAATGTTTCTATTCAGGACAGTCTCATCTAATATTGCTGCCAGCCCCTTCTCTCCAGCCTTTGCCTTGGGCACTTGTAAGCAGGCAGTCCCCTCGCTTTGCAGAAATGCTGCAGTTGTCATAGCCCTCCTCTGCTCCCCGTGTTTGCTCACCCTAGCTGCCAGGAGAGAGCAGATGTTCAAACCTTTCAGTGATCTGGCATTAAGTGTAATCTTGTCTAACTTGGGTCACAAATAGTCTCCCAAAAGTTAACTAGTATCTAAGCTCTTTTATCCTCTAAAGAGCAGACAAAATTGTGTGTATGGAGTGAGGAGGTGATCCCGGAGCAGGCCCTCCTCATCAGCCATCCAGCTACCTTTTGCAATAGAAACATCTTAGTTACCATGTAATAAACCCTGATTCTCCACCAGTTAAGTATTACTGAACAGAAGAGGAATGAAAGAGAAGGAATATTAACTTCTTCCCCCTTCTTAAGTCATCTAGAAGCTTGAGGTGGCTCTGCCGACTTGCTTTKTCTTAGATTTGGTTTGAACATAAACTAGACTGGAGGGATAATGATGGAAAAAATGGATGAGATGAAAAAGAAATAAAGGGGATTTGCGAATAAAAGATCCATTTTTCTCCCTGCTGATTGTTCTTGAAGAACAAATCCTTTTAAGCATGTTCTACCGGATCAACCTCTGGTGGCTTCCTTTGCGTACAACTCTGTGTACAACTCTGTGTGATCCCTTGTGGCCTTTGCAAAAGATTCTTTGAGTCTGGTTTATTGACTTTTCCAAGGAATCCCCCATTCTCTGCACTTACTGTCAGTTTCTTGTTGGCTGTCTCCTTATTCTGAATTTGTGAAGCTGCTCCCAGATGATGTCCGGATGGGAGCAACTTCCCTTGGGCAGATTCCACCAGGACCGGGGTTCAGAAGACCAGACAAGCCACTCACTGTGCTGATGGCCACTGCTTTTTGAAGCACAAAACACGGGAAGCTGCAAACAAATACATTAAATTACCATCCTTCACAGGGGGATATTCCTGATCGGTTATCCCAAGTACCTCATTGCAGATTGCTTCCGTTTTTTGCATTTAATTAAATCCTTTGTCTTTCGGAGCAGCTCAGAAACAGCTATAGAAACAAGAGTGTGCAGAAGGAGAGCTTGTAGTAGTAAAGGCATTTTTGAAAAGCAGTTGTAAATTTTTGATAATTTAACCACTTGACGTTATGCAGGATTGTCTGGAAATCCTGTGTGKTTTTATGTTGTTTTAATTTTTGTGTGGAATGCTCCTAGCCTAGTAATCTACATCACATGTGGAGTGKTCACCAGTGGAGCACATAACGCTTAGGAAAACCATGGCAAAACAAGGAAAGTAGCATAACGAGTGTGTATTCATTATTCCTCATATTTGTACATGACACTTGGGAACCATTTGGGTTATAACAGAATTAATTGGGGAGCTTTCAACCAAAAGCCTCCAGTGTTTTCCTTCAGTGCTTTAAAAAGTGGAAAAATAATCTCTGGTCATACTTATTTACAGAAGGGCATACAAGTAGTCATTATATAAATGAGATGATCTTGAAGTCAGGAAAGCTAGAAGAGAGAAAGCCCTATTAAATGCTCACCTAGTCTGTCTCTTTGCAAAGCAGGGCTGTTTTTCAGCTTTTAATGAGCCAACCTATGGAGCTGAGACCACTTCCCCWGGGAGGTTATTCCAGGCTAATGCTGATATATTCTTATCATATGAAAATTTGTCTTCCTGTTCTGTTTTTCTTTCTTAATGTAATTTCATTATTCCTATCTGATACCTCTTCTTAACCTCCTGAATTCCCTCTTGCTTTTTCTTCTGTGCTCTCTAGAGATAGTTGTCAACTTCAGGTGGCCATTAGACCTGAAGTTCAATCCATAGGCACTTTGTCAGCATTCTGGTAACTCAGTCTCTTCAGTCTGTCTGTTCTTACATATCTCTGGTAACTGAACTAGGATTGGAGCTTGAGCGAATAATCATAATTTTATTTTTCCCTGTATGGGATTTTTTTTTCTTTTTATCTTTTTTAGTATGCCTGCAAATTTATAATCAATATTTGGTCTGATCTTTTACTTCTCTTGTTGGGAATGAAATAATCTCTTAAAGTTTCGTGGGAGAATGTGCTGAAATTATTGTTGTCTCTGTGTGGTCACTGGTCTTCCTGAAAGTGAGTTGCTTCAATAAGTTTTTGCACTCAGGTCTACTTTAAAGTAAATGGTCTCAAACCCCCAAGCTATAAAGAGCAGTAAGTTAAATAATAACAAGGTTTGTTCTGTTCAAATACACATACAAAAACATACTCAGAAAGACTTCAGTGCTACTATGCCAAAACATACCAAGCTTGGATTAAACTCGGGCCGGATTTGTTTCCAGGTGAATGAGGAGAGACTTCTTGGAAATAACATCCCACAGTGTAACCTGTTTTGTTTCTCAACCCTGATGCCTCAAGTAACAGCCCCACACCGTCTTGTTCCACCAGGGGAGTGGAGCGGGAAGGATCTGGCTGCATTATAAAAGCCTCAACAAATGTTACAATTTTTTAAAAAACCACATTTTGCCACTTGCCCATCTGCCACCTGCTCTGTAGTTCCACTCCTTCGAACTATCTTCCTCCCTGACCATTTCCTGCAGACAATTTGTATCTCTGTCTATTGTGTTACTTCCAAAACGATGAACTTTTCAGTCTCTTGGCTACAGACTGCCTTGGCCTTCTCATTTTCACGCAATCTCCAATCCTGGTTCAGTTACTGAGAATATGCAACTATTCTGGTTTTGCATACATGGCTTCTGTGGAAAGGGTATTTCTCTTCATGCCTTGTTTGGTGAGGGTTTAGAAATAATAATGCACCAGTGTGAGTACCCWAAAAGCCACAATTTCAACATGCAGCTTGTTTTGAGTAAGAAGCTATGCTGAGTCAGAGGTTTGAAAGACAGAGATATTTAAGGATGCAAATGGTCATGTACATAGGTTAGCACTTAAAGTGTACAGACAATTGATACAGAATGAAAGAAAACCGAATTAAATAATTTTAGACAGTGTAAGTAATGTATGTGTTCAAAACAAGAAAAAGTACACATTTATATATGTACACATATTTTATATATATGCACATRTATGTATAACATATAAATGTTTAAAGTGGATGGTAGTGGTGCTCAATGCTTATTTCTCTGTATATTTAAATTTAAATTTAACATATATACATAATGAATTTATATTTGTATTTAAAACAAGTATGTTTAGAGCTGTCCCATATGATACTGCTAGGACAGCTCACCATCAGTGGAAAAGAAAGATGAGAGGATCTGCTAAAATTAAACATTTCATATCAACTAGCCCACCTAATTCTACACTGAGGAACTACTGGAATCATTAATGTCAGTATTAAACAATATTTGGAAAACTGGGGAAATTCTCAAGTACTGAAAGAATGCTGATGTTGTTCCTCTGTTTAAGAAGGGCAAAGGGAGATAAACCTAGGGAATTAACTAATTAGCCTCAAATCAGCCCCGAGTTCTGTTTTAATTATGTTGAGCTTGAGGTGACGGCTCGATATCCCCGAGTGGATGTCACAGAGTGGTTAATATAATACTCTAATGATATTTTCATATCTAAGTCTTTCTTTTCTGATTATGTTAGCATGTCTTCACAGAAGGGCTTTGTCAAACAAATCTATTGTCTTTTTCAGCAGGACAGCACATCTTATTGATGAAGCAATTTGTGGTGTTTAGACCATTTCAGGAGTAAGAACTTCTGAGATGGAAAAACGATCACTACATATTTCCCAGGGAAAGAGAAAAGTCACTTTTTGAGACCGGTCAGAGAATAGACGCTAAGATTTTTTGGCTTTTCTGGGAAAAGGACAACGCTCGTTGGTCAGTGTGATGAGGTGCCTAGTTATACACCTGACATTTTAACACTTTTAGAAACCTGGTGCTTTGATTTCCAAGTGATCTCTAAGTGACTGCACTGCTTGAAAGCGTGACTAAGATTCAGTCTCCCTGCCACGCCGCTRTGATGTCCTAAATTGCCACCTATCCACTGAGCCACAGTATCTGTACAAGGGGATGCTCTYAGCCTCTCAATATTTGAGATAAGGCAACGTAGTTTAGCTCTCTGTGGACAAGGTTTGCACTAAATCATGTTACCTTGTATTGTCATGGGCTAACAATTCTTACAGGGAAAATTACCCTGGCTCAGCTGGCACGTGGTAACTGCAGTCATTTCATCGTGTGCCTCTCATAGCTCTTAGGTTACTTGAAGTTAAATTTATTGCACCTAACTTTAGGCTTTTGCTATAGCCTAGGAAAAGAGATTGGTATCTCTTAGGGCAATGCCTTCCGTCCAAAGATAGCTGAAATAGGTAGCATGAATTCACTTTTTGGAGGTACTAACTGATCTTCATTGAACGTAGTAGGCACCGAAAAGCTATTTGAGGTCGGATTAATTCTGCCTTTCCAGCCCTCCAAGGTTCTCCTTTGTGTTGTTTTTAAGGGTCTGCTTAGAATGCACTGAGCACAATTTGAATGTTTTCCTGGCGTAGAAAAAAAAATGTCATCTTAAACTTAGMCAGCCAGAAGCCCTGTTGGCAAGAGCACTGAGTCCCCAGAAGAGGAAGCGCCTCATATTTGGCTAATTGGCTGACTACAGCAGCTGATTAAAGAGCACGCCGCCTTAATGGATTTTGCAGGGGTTCTCTAGCAGTGGTCTGTGACCAAAATTATAAATCTGTAACAGGAGAAATGGGGAGATCTGTAGGAGTCAGAGAATAAATTGGGAGAAACTAATAGGAGGAGAAAAAGAGACAGTGACTTGCATTTTAAATGGAACCTTGCAAACATATTTTAATATTGCTTAAGACACGAGCTTCAATAAATRGAGATTTTCATTCTTCCAATAATACAAATGCTTCATTCATTCAGTGATTTACATTACTTAAAATGTATAATAAATATCAATAGCAAGTAGTTAACATAGGGAAAGGATGGCAATAGACCCTGTACTTGGAGGAGTGAACAAAATGAACTGAAAGAAGTGTTTCATTAAGGATGAAGAGGATGACATAGAAATGAGAGCCCAGGCTAAGGTGAGGGGAGTCTAGAGGAAAAGACTCCCTCTSAAAAAACCATTTGATGTTCTGCGTTGCTGACATTCATCCCCTGGCAAGGATGTTTTGCTTAACAAAATGTGTATTTCCCTAGAGCGTGTGGACATTAGAGGTTCTGTAAGTGCCATAAACCTGAACTCTAATATCCTTCTATCATATATGTTATGCAAATGCTGTAGCTGTGGTGATCATCAGTGATTTTGAAATGTTACAATGTGAAACATTCCTAGCTGAATTGTTTTTCATACAGCCTGTCAGTTGTTGATAATTTGCATTTAATACCAAATGCTGTTTAAACTCTTACTTTAAAAAATTACTACAGATACTAGAAAATTTGGAACAAGGCTTAGCTGAAGATGGAAGTATGACCACCATTGCACAGGAGAACAGGCAAGGTGGGTATCCTTTAAACCTTTGCTCCACAGACRGTGTATTTTTACTGCTTGCCCAAGTATCCCAGAAATTTTCACAAGACTGCCTCAAAGTTGTTAAAACAGCATTTATGTCATCTCAAAGCCTGCTCAGCCTCCGAAGTGATACGACTTGTACGTTTATTTGCTGGAATTAATTTCACAGTTTTGCCTTTGATTTTAATCAAATTGACATACTAAATCAGTTGGAAGGAACAAAGAACACGGCTGCCCTGCTTTAGGGGTGAGTGAAGTGCACGTGGATCAGCGTATGACTGCAACCACCATGTGAGTGTTGCATCTCAAGCCTTGACTCGTTGCCTTCTCACAGACCTCATCTCTGAAACTCACCCAGTTTCTTTGGATCAAACCACCATTGTACAAGGGCCACGCGGGTCTAGGTGGTGGTTGTGAGGTCTATCTACGCGGGTCTATCTCACTGAAGGTGCATGGTACTCCTGAAATAACCAGGTCTCTTTTAAAAATGAGGTTTTGATAGTATTCATCTCAAAGGGCATTTTCATCATCTTGTTTGCGCCTGTGTTTTTTTTCCTGTCACTGTTTTCTGAGTGGTTTAACCTGACTAGTCTGGAGTACGTTACTGMATGAAGGTTGTCTGGACAAATTAGTTGTCTGAGCATCTTTTTTTTTAATGGAATTGATGCTAATGAGGCCACTTGAGTGTGCTTAAAAATTGAACAGGAGGTGATGGATCAGATCCACTCTGATGCTGGCAATCTAGAAATGAAAAATTTCATACCAAGAAGACAAAACTAGCTGATAAAATCAGGAAATTCAACTTCCTTCTAGGATAGCATCCACCTAGAGGATGTGGAAGGCAGATCTGCTGTGAAATGGGAAGAGGCTGAGCACAGTGGTTGGCAGAGTGGCTTTGCCCTGGCCCATTCCCTAAGGGCTCGTGTGCTCACGTGGAGTGGTGCCGACCTACCTGATGCCTCCTCCTCGAATGGAGGTAGGGTAAGGCAGAACCTCCAGAATGTAAGGCAGGTTTACTGTGTCACTGCCCTTGAGCTAACGCAACAGCTAGGATGTCCTGAAAAAGTGAGAGCCTCTGCGAGCTGCAGATATCATGAAGGCATCCGCAAGTCTATTCAAATGAATGTATTTACTGTTCTTCACAGAAAGGGTAGGAAAAAAAAGAAACAGAGAAATAATCAGATATTCAGCATGTATGCCCAGCACTAAAGAAAGTTCTGTTCTTCCCTCCTTGTATCTGCTATCCTCTTGCCTTGTCCCTTGCCTCCATTGCATTTGTTATCCTCCCGCTTTCCCTTTCTGCTTCCTTTTCCACCTTCACTCTGCCTTCAGCCTTCTTATCTCCACACGTGTTCCCCTTCCTTGGGACATAGAGCCTGCTCACCTCTCAGAGCACCAGGACCTTCTGTCCAGGCCGTGTCCCAGCCGTGTCCTGGTGCCCTGGCCGTGTCCTGGCCATGTCCTGGCCGCATCCTGGCCGTGTCCTGGCCATGTGTTGGCCATGTCCTGGCCATGTCCTGACCGTGTCCTGACCGTGTCCTGGCGCCCTGGAGCAGCCCCACGCCTGCCCGCGCGGGCTCCTCCCGTTCCCTCATGACGGCCGCGCCAGATCCCGCCMAGCGCTGCAGACAGGGAAGCAGCAGCGAGCGGCAGCCCAGGATGAGGCCGCTCCGAGTGGGGCCAGAGCTCTCCGTGTCTGCCCTGCCGCTGCCGGCGGGGCTGGGACTGCCCGAAAGCCCCTGGAGCCCTGAGGGAGCGTTGGCTGCTGCTGTCTGGAGGCCACCCGGGTCTGCCCTGTCTGCCTCCGTGCGGTGCTGGGAGCTGCAGGAGGCTGATAATGTGTTTTTTCCTGTGAAACGTAGCTGAAGGAAACCTTATTAACYGTGCCTGAGGACAGCTGTAATTCATTATGGGGATTATGCTTAGTATGTAATTTYCTTATTGCTGGTGTAAGTAGGTGCCACACCAACCATCTCATCGTATACGTCTCCTGTAGGCTGGAACAGGGCGCCTCACTCGCTGGTTTTTCAGCAGGAGGAGAGATTTAGCACTGCACCACTTGCCTGGTGATGTTTTCTGCAGGATGCCACCTCTGCAGCCTCTTAATGCACAGAGTGAAACGGGTGGTGGTTTGAGGCACAGAGCCCGTGATGCAGAGCAAAGGAAAAGGGGTGTTCAGGCRGGAAGACTGCAAAGTGGGCTGAAAGCATTTCAGTAGCAAACAGTGATTTGATTTGGGTTTTTGGTTTCATTTTGCTGCTGTGCAGGTTTTCCTTAACCTGCTTCTGCCTCCCAGGAGCCTCCTTCACGGGCTGCACAGTTTCCAGGTCAGAGGCAGCTCCTGTTCGGTTGGTTTATAGCACAGCCTGGAGGAACCAGCCCTGGCGCCCGCCGTCCCTGTTGGGAAGCTGCTGGTATCGGCTGCGGGAAGCCCAGGCGGCTCCACACTTCCCTGCAGGAGTCCCTGCCCTATTTATTGTCACCTAAGTCCTTGATAAGACCTTAAAAAATTGAACATAGCTACCAAAATGCCAGCACGTTCAAACAGGGCGATAAGTGAGATAATAAAGGAGAGGRATTTAATTAGGTGCAGGTTTTACAGACATGCAGAAAGAAGAATGGGCAGAGCTGAACGGAGGCTCTGTGTTTGCAGCATCCTCTCTGCTAAGAGCAACGGGAATGTGGTAGTCGAAGGTGAATTTCTAAAACAGGAGCTAGTCTTAATGAGTAATTTAAGGTGCTGGCTTCAGTCTTGGGCACAAAGAAAAGCCTTCTCTTGTGACGAGGAACATTCAGAGCTTTCGTTTTGGGGGGGATTTTTTTGAAAGAGTTGTTCTTTTCAGGAAGGGGAGTGTGCATTTCAGCAGGCTTTCTTCTTATTTGTAGTAGCTTTTATCTGTGCTGAAAAATTACCCGTGCAGCCCGCCATGCTTTTCATCCCAGCCTGCATTATTGACACAAATGAGCGGTCTCGGTTATCGCGTCTCACTGAGATCTCCCCTTCTCCCCCACCGTCGCCAATCGTTACAGTGACCTTGGCAGTTGATTGACTGGCATGAGAGACATTCATTTTCCCAGTGTACTAAATTAATATTCTTCGTGWTGATTTTTGAGGATTAGAGGAATAACATCAGCATTGATCTAGGGTACTGCAASGCAAGAGAAAATCCGCGTCTGTGTGAGCTGTTCTCTTGCAGCGTGAGGAGTCTGCCTGCAAACCAGAGAGAGCAGGATCTGCAGCCTGCAGCGCCCGCGGCGCCGGGAGCAGCGGGAGAGCAGACAGGCTTGGCAGGTCTCTCCAGCACATCTCCCAGCCGGGGGCAAGCACAAATAGTGCCAGGCTCAGGCAGCTCTCCCCTGGCACGGTTTGGCTCTGAGATGACATTTTGGCTGTGTGTGATTTTTGGGCACCTCACAGTTAATCCCATAAATTACATGTTTTTAGCTGGCGCTCATTAGCACTTGAATCTTTCCATGCACCTTTTATTCTGGCACTGGGAGACGTATGGCTTCCTTCAGCATCTAAACGCTGGCCATCATGCCAGGCAGTCTCCTCAGGAGGCAGCAGGATGGGGACAAGGATGTCCCGCCTGGTGGTGGGAAATCCTTGGCCAAGCCCAGGGGTGTTAGCAGGGGGGACCCTGCAAAATCCTCACTCACAGCACCAGTAATTGATGGCAGGACAGAACCCCTGATTTACCTGTCTGCTCTTCTCTCGCAGCCTCTGCTCAGCTGTGGAGGGCACGTCTGGGCCGGGTGATGTACTCCATGGCAAACTGTCTGCTCCTGATGAAGGTACGTGGGGACACAGCTGCAGAGGTGCCAAATCCTGGGGAATACAGCATTCCCAGGAAGCAGGGAATTACTGCTGCAGAGATAAGGGAAGCCTACCTGAGTGTGCATGAAGGCTTTGCCTAGGCGAAGAATTAATTAGGCTTAATAATAATGACTTCTTTAATAGATAACCATTTGCAGTAATGTTCTTGGGGAACATATCTGTACTTATTTCTCCTCAGATCCTCTCGGAGAACATGCAATAACAATATGGAATTTGCATTTTTAAATTGAGTTTTTCAAACACTTAGCTAAATGCTGTAATTAAAAGCAATTATGTGCCCCGTCTCCTTCAAACTGTGCAGTAGGAAAGTTGCTCTATTTGTGCACATTAATAATGCCATAGGCTTTGTATGTGATGCAGATCCAGAGCATCTAAACACATCTCTTGTCAGCTCTGTAGATTGCGGGGTCTCTTCCTTCAAATTTACATCCTCACTAGCAGTACAGGAAGCAGGGGGGAATAAAAGCAAAAGGAGGTGGCTATCACTGTTTTATTTTCTTATTTTCCATACTCTTTCAAGCAATCCTACTTCATTTTGTACAAGAATTCTTCCTTTGCTTAGGAGATAGAAATAAGACTTCCACTGTTGACCTCCTGATCTCAAGAACAGAATATCCCCATTTCTTGAAACTTAAAGCTACTTCAGGAATCAATCAGCAGCAAGAGGCCAGGATTTGCAGTCCTAGCTTCCCAATCTGTCTGCCCAAAGTCAAGCCAAACCTAATTCTCTATAACATTGAACTGACAMCAGATACATTCAATTATTTTAACACCATTTTAACATCCAGCAGTGCTATCATCGTCTTCTCTTCCCTCTCTGAAGTATTCCATACCAAGCTGCTTATTCAAATATAAAGCTCCACACCTTTATATGCTGTTGTATAATGCTCTTTAAAAAATCCACTGTAATAATTTCAGGTATGTCATGTAATTAACATGTGCGCCATGAAATTCTGTTCTCAGTCTCTGAGCCAGTGCCTTCTATTGCCATCTAGCGAATATTCACAATATTGCAGGGTGGTCGGTTTGATTCCAAAGTGCTGTTAATAGCTTGTGTGCTCAGTAAATGAATAAGGATAATTTACAGAACTAAAAGAATGTTCCCTATAACACTGAGATAAACACTTACTAACCTTTCCCTTAGGCCAAAACACCTCAGTAATATTTAATAAGAAATAATCTTTTCAGGACTGACTCTTCAAAATAAAATTTAAAAAAAGACTTTGAACAGATGCTGATCCTACAACTAGTTTAATCTACTTCAGCTATGTTCAAATCTAATGGGGGTTGTTTAATGTCTTTTATCTGACCCAAGCTTTTATCTGACCTGTGCAGCACGGTGGTATTTGTCTTTTTAAATATGCTGTATGGTCTCATTAGTTTGATAGCTGAATCTCACATTAATTTATTGAGATAGTGGAGTATATTGTTTTTGAGATAGTGAAGTAGGGTGCAAAGGAGCAATTTACCCAGACTGATGCAGAAGACCCATGGGGGAACAGGTCGTTTATCACAGTTCTCCTTTACCCCAAGACTCTCTTCCCTAGGTACAGAATCCTGCCTGCTGTATCATTTTGCATAGGTGCCTGATGATGAAGTTCTGTAGCACTTTAAGGCAGTCTCACTCTATGGCCCTTTTGCTTTCCATTCCCTTTCTTTGTAGAACCTTTCTTAAAAAGGTTTTCTGTGCACCACTTTTGGGCTTAAGCAAATGATAGGTAAGGAACCTGATACATGAGAAACAAAAGAGGAAGGTGTTGACATGCAGCAGTATCAGCTGAGTCAGCATTTCCAGTTTCATGTGAACAAGTGGCATGGAACTAACTGTGCTCCCAGTGCGGCAGCACGAGGGAATGTTCATTTAAAATGTAACTAATGGTGGGCATTGTCTCATTTCAACAGCCTAATTGCAAAAAAAAAAGTGTCATTTTACTAATGCACCGTGAAAGTGCCTGAAAAACTTTTTGTTCTTGTCATCTGAGATAACATCACTTTTGACATTATATTTGCAGATTTTTATCTCTGTAAAGAGTGAATACCTAAGTAGTGTACCTATATATTATAAATGCACTCTGACAAAAGGTGCATTTTGCATTTTTAGATGTTTTTGCAGAGTTCTCTTTGCTTTTGTACAACTTTCCTTAGGTATCACTCCCTTGCATCACTAATATGAGCTGCTGCCCCCTTCTTTATAATGTTCCAATACCATTATGCCCTAATTAAAAACTATTCTATTATTTTTATTTTTGCCTAATAGTTCTAGCTTCTCTCTGATTTAAAGGAGAAAGACTGCTTGAATCATGATGTCTTTTGCTAACTGTGCTGCAGTGCTGTTCTCTGAATGCATAGCACTAAATCTCTGCGTTTGTAACCCTTCTACACCTGTGCTGCTGTGGAAGCACCACAGAAGGACTGTGAGCTCTTCCCAGAATATTATCTTTATGAACAACATGGTCTGTTAGGTTGTTTTCACAACCTCCTCCCAGCTGCTCACCCATCACTATCATTTATGCTTATTTCTAAATGTGTCATAAATCGTATCTCGATTATTTACAATGAAGAGAAAATAAACCCACAAAAATGTGTAATAAAGCCACAAAAATGGGTAATGTGGAAAGAGGGAGAGAGTTGTACAACAGTGCATCAAAGGAAAGGTAACCCTGTTTGCCCTTGTTGTGCTAGTAGATCTCTCTGCTTGCTGGAACTAGCTTATATGTATTTAATGTTAGTTCCTGATTTTTCAGAATTAGAGCAGTATTTGATTCTAAAAGAATGAGCGAGCTCTCATTTGTATCCAGAATATGTAGCTTTGTCACTTCCTTAGGGATTTCTGCTGGAGGTGTGAAAATCTGAAACTTGCATTTTTCAGAAAGTGAAAACCATGATAATACGCGAGCACCTTGGAGCCTTAAGATCACAAGTTGTGGTTCCTGCTCTCCTCCTGGCAGGACCTCGTGTTCTCGGCTCTTCACAACCCRTGAGGCTTCGTTCCCCTGGGAGATACTTCCTTTCATCTTTCTCCTAGACTCTTGTGCTTATCCCTCCTCACCTTAGCAAAGCTGGRAGTGAAACCCAAGTCTTTAGTAAATAAGACCAAGTGGCATCTACTTTGCAATATGCTGTTTTGTGAGGAATTGGCAAGCTGTGTTTTTCAACGTGCCACAGAACAGCATAGTTCTGTGCCACCTGGCTGTGTATAGGATACTGTAGAAATTTTCTTCCATGATAGGAGAGATGGTTCTGTCCATCTGTTAATTCTAAGGGAATTAACAGGTCCTGTTCATTTTGCTAATTCTAAGGGAACTTCAATTCCCTTGGACAGACTAAAGTGAAAGAGTTTGATTTAGGTATTGGTTCTGAACCTTTACMATACAGTCCAGCTTCAAAATCAGTAATTGAAGCCAAGGCTAAATTTCCAGCACCTYTTCCAACTCCTCCAGCATCAGCTCTTGTGATTACACCTTACTTACTCTGTTGGCAGCACGTGTTGTATTTTCTGTGCAGCACGAAAGGCTCAGGCTGCACCCCGTGCCCCTTACCCAGCCCTGTTCCTGCTGCTTTGCAAAGCTGCAGGTGAAGCATGAAGCACGGAAGTTGCAGGTATCAAATGGACCGCGGGGAAGCCCAGGGCTGACGTGGGCTTTACACAGCTTAGCCTTGTCCCTGGTGTGGTAACGGGAGCCGCGGGGCATGATGCAGGGGAGCAGGGACCCCGGGTGGGTGTCGCTGCACAGAGGCAGCGCCCAGGGCGAGGGGCTTGGCCGGCTCCTCATCCCAATGGGTCCGCGCTGATGGAAAGATGGGCCCAACCTGGTAGGGAGGGCAAGAGGGCAGCAGTCACAAGGCCAAGTCCATGAGGCCCCYGGGTCCCCAGGACGTCCTGCCGAGACACTGCTCCAGGGAATTCCCAGCAAAACTCCTTCCCACGGGGTCGCCGGGGCGTTGGAGGAGGTGAGCGGAGCAGCCTGTCCATGCCGGCCCTGCTGCACGTCCGCGTTGTGCAGGCGCAGCCCCAGGGTGCACATCACAGCTGCAGCCCTGCTGCAGACCTGAGAGGAAGCGCTGCAGGCGCTGACACGGGAAAGGAACCGAAGGGAACTGCCTCACCAATAAGCACACCTTATCCTAAGAGTAAAATTCACAGTCACGGAAGATCCCTAAGTATTTTTTAAGGAACACCCTGCGTGAGCAGCGGGGTTGGACTAGATGACCTCTGAGGTCCYTTCCAACCTTAAGCATTCTGTGATTCTATGGACACCTTTTCTTCTGGATTGGTGGTTAATATAGGCTGGGTGGTCCCTGTTCTGATTTTCACAGTGGTCACTGTGATACTATGGACTCTCTGTCCATGCTTTTAGACATATACATATGTACATATACACATACATAAATATATAGAGACATATGACCTAGCACAGTGGGGTGCTGTAAACAATAAATCCTATAATGAGAGCTATGACCTTGGCATTAAAATCTCCTTGAGTCACAAGCTAGTGAGAAATGGTGGCAGCCTGAGAAGTTTCCTCACCTTTGATTTCTGAATTCCAAACAGGTCAGAATTGGAAGAAAAGCCTGTTTTTGTGTCTGTGAGCTGTAATCTGTGAACCCTTGGCACTAGCAATAAGAAGTATGAACATAGAGTGGCTCACAGGACTTGGAAAAAGCTCTAAATGTTGATTATTAACTGTTAGAAATTAATCATTATATACATTGGTTAGCACCCTGCCACATTCCTTGTGCAGGTGAGTGGCCACTTGCAGAACTGCATGGTTAGAAAAGAGCCCAATACTCAGTTACTTGGAGCCCAGATCTGTTTTCCAAGCAGATTAACTGCACATTTTGCTTTTGCATGAGATGGGAGAAGGGAGCAAGGATCTGAGTGCAGGGCTACGACAGGACTGGCTTCCTTGGCCATTGTGCTCATTTGTCAKCTTAAAACATGCATGAAGTTGTAGCACCTGTTACATTGCCTTGTATTTTTCACAAGTTAAGACCATGTGCAAAAAAAGTCCTAAAGTTTCTTTGATACAGTAATTTATTAGTTAAACTATATAAGTGTTTGGTGTATTTGAACCTTACAACACTTCTCAAATATGTACTGAGGGCTTCTGACTCTCACATTAAAAAACATAATCYAGGCTGAAGAGAGTAAGTGCAGATCCTTTCTCCTAATATTTAGCTACAAACTTAAAGAACCGAAAGGTAGAGATGTGCTCCACAGTTCCAGTATAACTCAAGCTTAAATCTGGTCCCCTGCTCTTCACCCTTCAGGACTATGTGCTTGCTGTAGAAGCTTATCACTCCGTCATCAAATACTATCCTCAGCAAGAGCCTCAGCTGCTGAGTGGCATTGGAAGGATATTCCTTCAGGTATGTGCTTTATCCTAAATCTGCTAGGTAATATTACTGTTTGCAGCTCTTGGGAGGGATTGTTGCATCTAAAAGTACAGTTATTTTTATAGGGCATGTATCAAATTGTGGAGGCAGTGGTAAAAAAGAAAAAAAGTCACTCTGAGMTTATCAGATTAAGCTAGGAAATACAAACTCACATAGTGTTAAAATTAAATGCATTTACATTAGTGAGCAAAGAAGGTACTATAGAAAATTATGCTAATAGTTGATTCAAATGGCAAGCTTCTCTTAAAATTGATGGCAAAACCCCCATTTTATTGAACCAGAATTTTGCTGAAAATTTACTTTCCAACTGCTTTAGACTGCAGCTCTTGGTCATCCTCCATCACTGGCAAGTGAATATAAAAGAATCTCAGAGTTTCCTGATTATATCACTGAGGAGAGCACTTCAAAGGARGGCAGCAACACTGCATGTATATAACAACCTTGCATGCAGCTATTTACTTGTACTAAGAGAAAGTAAACTACAGAGAAAGATAAACTTTTTGTTTATCAGAAAAGAGTGTCTAAACAATTGATATCTCACAGTTTTAATTTTGAGTATGTCAAGTTCTTAGGTTTTTCACATTCTCTAATACTAATGTTTCAAACTTTCAATATTCATCTATAATAAATGTAATTTTGAATTGTCAAAAGTATTTACAAAGAATCCAGTTTGTGGCACTAAGGTTTTAAAATTACATTGAAATTGTAGAATTTACTCTTGGTAGGTAATTAAGTCATGAAAAATATTGTTTGCTTGCAGTCTGAGAATGTGTCAAAATTCAAATTCAGCTCCAGATTTTCAGCTCTTAGCAGGAAAATGTTTTCACCATTTGATAGAAACGTGTTTGTGTATAAAATACTCTGATTTAAAGTGGCTCTCCATCATTACAGAGAAATGTTTTAATACTGAGAAGTGCCATGTACATTAATTAATTATTACCTAAATAGGCAGCTTATAATTATCTATATTAAATAATGGCACTGTAAATTTATGTAATACTGTTGGAAATACAAGTCATTAATAGTTCTGGGCTTAATGGGAAGGGAAGCTGGGTATATTACTTGGTACTGTCTTGCTGAACAGTGTCTTCCTTAAGGTCACACTCTGTGGTCTGTTAGTAGCTCAGTTTGCTGTAGAAATATCCTCACTCTCAGCAGAATGGGAGGAAAGTGGCTCCCAATTTTGGAAAGACTTTTATCCAGTTTAAAAAGTGGTGTTAATAGAYTTGTTAGGGAGTCGTCTGGTGTCATGGGGCTCTGTGATGGTGACCTGAATTTGTACGTGGTTTTATTTTGTTTATTTAATTGACCTCACTAGTTTTGGAGACCATGTCTTCTTTGTCTCTGCACATGGAGTGGCATAAAGATGTGATTTGTAAGGCTGTTGTCTCAGGGAAATGGGGCCAAGAGAATCAAAGATTGCAAAAAAACAAGCAAACAACCCCCCAAAATCCAACAGAGCCTAACACAGTGATATTTTGAGAAGCTCCATAATCCTGTCACCATCACCTGAGTTGTAAAATAGAAGTTCACATGAAGCAGGAAGGCAGCAGGGAACTTCACGTGAAGCAGGGAGACATTTGAGTCGTGAGTATTTTATGGCATGTGGCTAATAGACTCTGCTCACAGGCTGACCTATCCAAAATTGCCATTTAAATAACGACATTAAAGAACTTAAAAGGTGAAATGGTATCTGGCCATACTCTGCAAGAGGTTGCAGGAAAACAGAGTTAAAAACACTAATTAAATTCTAGGAGTACTTTAGAAAAATAATCTGGGAGTTCAGACTAACAACGAACTTAATTTAAGTGCAGAGTCTATTGGAGGCTTATTRATAGAGGAAATTATTTGAGAATAATAGAGGATATTACTGAGAGTAAGGTGAAAGTAATAATTTCATTATTAATTTGAAGTGCTACTCACCTTTTCTGAACTTGGTTAAATAAAATTAAGTGGCAAAGACTACTTCAAATTTTTAATATTTAATAACTAAGCCTAATTTCAGTCTTTCTGGGTGAAAAAAAGTGTAAAAAGTATAAAGGTATTAACAGTTTCTCCTCTGTTTAGTGGCAGGAATGGCAATTTCTGTGATCTGCTTACAAGATACAGGACACTACTAAGAAATAGAACTCCTCATGACCCCAAATATGGTTTGATTACTCTTAAAACCTGTTAGATGTGGATTCTACAGGCTCTACAGCAGAGCAAACTGCACGTTTGCTTTAGAGACTGATTATTCTCATGGTTAGAAGCACAAACACTGTGAAGGGCAGGGTGAGAATGTAAAATAATCTCAAAAAGTTGGGAAACCAAAGTGGCAAATTGGCTGCTATTCAAAGAATAAAGGCCAAATATTCCTGAATGGTGGCAAAAATGCATAAATACACAAATACATAAATACATAAATGCATAAATACTAGGCAGCGTGCTGCAGAAAGGAATTAGTGTAAGGGAAAGCAAGATGTATGTGGGTAAACAAACCAGACTGTTAAAATACTGTGGCGTAAAAGCCAACTCCATCTTTAGATATGAACCACAAAATCATGCTGCTCTCCTGGCTGCTCATAGGAGCTCAGCTGGAGTTTGGGGCCACCTCTGGGTGCTCAGGAAAGATGTGAAGGACAGAGAGGAACTGCAGGAATGACCAGAGGGGCTGGAAGGCACTTTCTGTGAGGAAAGAGTGAAGATTGGTTTACKTGGAATTTGTTTGTTCCCTCTCCAAAAGAGAAAGTGTGCTGAATAGTAGTAACACCTAGTCTTAATGGAGGAAATCCTGTCCTCTGCCCATTTTCTGCCACTGAGAAACACTTGGGTAAAGCTGGACCTGCCCTTGTTGTTCTCAATAGGGCTTTTCCAGGATCTTCTTTAATAACAGACATTACCCAGTAACATTTGTACCGGATAATGACACTGTTTTCATGTTCTTATTCTTTGTAAAGGCTTTAATCGGGATTTATCTCCTTTCTTATCATGAGAACCTTATGCTTTTACTGTTTAGATTGGAGACATAAAAACTGCTGAAAAATATTTTCAAGATGTGGAGAAAGTGATGCACAAATTGGATGGACTGCAAAGCCAAATAATGGTTTTAATGAACAGGTAAATAATTTAATGGCTAACTGAAACTTCCAAATATGGTCTTGCACAGTGTGYATTGTGAGCAATAAGCTACCCTAGAGACAATTCTGTTCTCCTTCATGTAACTGTGTCTGTCATAAGTGAGACTGGATAGCACATAGACCCAGGAGATCTGCATTACTTGATACARTCACATTATCCTGGATGAAATTGTGACCCTTCAGCTGATTTTACCAAGATTTTTCCTCGTTCTTCCAGTCATTGCATATTTTCACTCTGCTTTTACAATACACATTTACATAAATAATTCTTAGGAGAGGAAAAGCTGTTTTGGACCCTTATCCTACAGTCACATAGGCTGCTGCCTTTTAGGTTCAAAGAGTGCTAGAATATAAAGCAGTAAGCTGAGCTGCATGCCAGGGAGCTCAGGCCGTAATGTTGTGCACATTGGCTTAATGTATTTAGAAAATACTGCTCTAAAGTACTCTGAAAATGATACAGCTCGGCACATTTCATGAAGAGAAATAATTCCAGGAAGACAGTAACAGTATTTTAATTAATAAAAACACAGTAGAGACGATTGCTTTGGTAGGCAGAATTTGGCCGAATAGCCAAATGATGCAAAGTGTCACTAAATGTGTCTGTAAATCAGTGTCTCCTTGCTGGGTAGAGATTACACTGTGAAGAGCAAATGCCAGAAACTTGCACATCTATAATAGGAAAAATAAAAAATGGTGTCCATTCTTTTTAAATATATTAGGACCTTGGGTTTTTCAGGATAACTCATTCGTGTGTCACTTGCTTTCTAGAGCATTTCTGCACCTTGGCCAGAATAATTTTGCGGAAGCTCATCGGTTCTTCACAGAAATTTTAAGGATTGACTCATCAAATGCTGTGGTAAATCTCCGAATTGCTACATATATAACGAACGCCTAAATTATTCTTGTAATGCCTCATTCATGGATTTAATTAGTACCCAGAGCTTTGTGGAAAAAACAGATGATGTCTGCAAGCCCGAGAGTTTTTAGTAYACATAAAGATAGGATAAAAGATGGGAAATGAAGAACCAGTTTATATGGGGGGAATGAATACTTAGCTATGCATGTAGATAGTCCAGTGCCTTGTGATTTCRTGGAATCTTTTCAAAAGCACTTTTTTTTCTTGCATTTACTGTTTTGAGTGTAGATATACAGGGCAGAAAACAAACTGGCAGCTGCTAATATAGATGGAATTTAGAATTCATATAGCCCTGAAGGGGATTCTGTTTTTCACATGTTGTGCATCAGGGCCTTGGATCACGTCACAAGATGAGATCATAGAATCATGGAATTCTTAAGGTTGGAAGGGACCACTAGAGATCATCTAGTCCAACCCCCCTGCTCACG